GGGGTCTGGCTACTGAGTTTCTAGTCTGAAAAAAACATGGAGTATTTGCTCAGTGTATATATTTTTATTTATATAAAAGCAGCAATCTTGTATTTTTCATGTCAATGGCAATCTTGGCCCAAACTTTAATATTCATTTCCTATAGAAAGCCTACATCCCAGACACTGATTTGTCTGGGAAGAATAAAGCACACTGCTGCTTGTTCCAGCTTTCCACACAAGCTGCTGCATTGCAGGCTAGAGAATGAATGTCAGTAAATCCCACCCACAGAATAGTCCAAGCAGATGTTACCCAGCGTTTCAAGTTTTCCCAGTTCTAGCACCTGTGCTGTTACAGGATGTAGTCATCTAACAGTACCACCTGTTGGAATAATGTAATTATGTGAGAAATTCCATTTTATCTGAAAGCAAGGCCTTGCTTTTTGCTGAATGAAGCAGACCAAACTGCACATTTTCATATACTACTCTTTAAAAACAGCAATCAAAAAAGAATGAAGAGGAAAAGCCATCAGTGAAGAAACTGAGAACTTTTCGTTCAACTGAAACTTCATAATCACTAAAAAATGTTCAGTAAAATATAAAAATGTGACTGTGATTAAGGCCACTTGCTATAAAAATAGAAATAGAAATAGAATTATGTTTGAAAAGTCGAAAATGGAAAGAATAGTGAAATTTTGAGTAGGTAACAATCTTTTAGTTCTTGGAAACATCTGCCATGTTAGCTCGGCTGCAATTACTAATGATTCTCAGTGACGTTTTGACCCTTACCTAAACTCTTCCTTGCTTCATCCCTCTAGTAAACAACAAAAATTTTTAAACTGCCTTCAGCCACAATTTTTAAACCTCCCTCTTCCCACAGTTTCTAAGATCTTTTATCAATAACTGTTAAGTGCAGGGGCCCCACTGCTTAGCTGTGAAAGAAGCTACCTCAAAATAGCTTTTACATGTTCAAGCAAAAATGCAGATTGCAAATGTCAGCAATAAATTTGTTTTAGTACTGCATAAATCCATCTGCTATGCATCAGCCTTCTTTGGTTTGGATTTCATGTTACAACTCTTGGATACATCATCTGATTCCTGTTTATGCCTCTCCTAGAGGTAGAGCTCTTTAGTCATGGTTCAGACTGTGCCTGTCACAGGCAAAATCATGCATTTTCTGGGTGATTTTTCAGAACTCACTCCCCTCAATAGCTTTTATCTAGTGAAAGGAAGAAGCCTTGTATCTTACCTTCCAAGGTACTTTACCTCCAAACCTCATCTCAGCTCCTCACACACATACTCACACTTTGGACCTGCAAAGCTCAAAGTCAGTACTGAAGCCAAGAATTTTATCAGATCTGTTAGGAGTTACCTGGCCAATGCCAGCACTGGTTATTGGAAAACAAGAAATTAGACCCAAGGAAGTCTTGAGCAAAAGTCAGGACGTTAGGAAGGATGTCTGCTCTTGCATAGCCTAGGAGTCCTTGATAATTTTTTAAAAATTTATTATCTGTGGAAAATGGCATTAATGAACTTTCCCTACAGACATCAAGGCCTGACAGAGCAGTGAGTTCAGATTCATATATTCCTTCAAAGAGTGGGGAATCTCTAAACCTCAAATGATATACTCATTGCCTACTCACAGAGTAGCTGTGTGGGAAACCTTTGTCATATGTTTTTCTCTATCAGATGGAACTCTGATAATTGAAAATTACAAGGAAAGAAATAGTTCAGATAAAGAAGTGGAAGAAAATGAAAGTAGAATATTGAGGGCTGGGAGTGGTGTATGCATATGCCATTGTCTTTGATGCAGACCTGTTTACCTGTGAATTCCGACCACCCAGCCAGAAACTCACACTCTCTGTTTCACAAACAGGCTGACAGATCTTCTAAAGAGGTGAAGAGCATATCAAAAGAAGTTCTTCATGAGCCTCACCAAGCAGTATGGTCTCATAATTTGGCTGTCCAGGTAAGATAATCAGTTGTGTTTTAAAACTCCCCATTCTAATGAGCAGAGTTCTGAGACCAAATCCTTTCATCTTTGCTTTGCACATTCTTCCCAGAAAGAGGCATGGTTTCCTCTTTATTGCATTTTCTGGGATACACACTGATCTAGCATTTTCACCTTTCATTTTGGTACTGCTGTGATCTCACAGAACACTGTATTTGACTCATAAATATAAAATTTTTTGGAGTGCTGATAGTGAAAGATCTCCCTGCTATCAGGGAAAAGCACCGACCTCGAGGTTCTGGAGGGCATCACAGGACAATGGAAATTTCCTGAGGTTTGGGCTCTGCCCTCATCAGAGCTAGCTGCTGCATGAACCATAGGGAGGTAGGTATAAATATCATCTCTGCAGGTACTTAGGCTCCACTCATCTCTGTAGTGCCAGATATGAATGACGAGAATATCACTGTCAATAAAATCTGAACTGAAGTCTCACTTTGGTCTTCACTGCCCATCTGCTGATTTGAGTGCACCTACTATTCTGCCAGAAAATTCAAAAGGGGAACCTGGCTTAGAACAAAAAGTGATAAAGCATTATATAACATTCAGCTCAGCAAAGGCTGTCACAGTGGTAAGGAAAGCCAAAGAAAATAAAGCACTGCATAAATGAGAGAAGGTTGGGAAAAGTAACCACTAAGGATGAAGAGAAGATCAGAACAGACAGAGAATTTGGGCAAAGTAATTTCTTGTAGGATAATTAATAAACACCATCATTTTAGAGATTAATAAGAAAATTAATAATCATCAATAATTATTTAAGTGCAGGAGGCAAACACAAAATATTGCTACTACCGTATGTGAGATGATTGTTTCTGTTCTGCTCTCCCATAACCTTCACTATTCAGCTATTTTAGTAACCTGCTAGTAATTTATGGCAGAATTCTTTCCTGATTGTTACAGACTGGATGTCTCAAGAAAACACAGGTGTACCAAAAGGAAATTGTCCAGGTGGATGCAGAAGGCCTAGTTATGGTCAACTTAGTGGTCAGAAATGGAGGTGAATTGGAATATGCACGGGTTCTGTGGTGACACAGATTCACAGCCAGCTGTGGCCAGATGTTATGAGGTTATGGATACATATCCAAAGCATCTTTTCACCCAGGAGGGATAAGCTTGGAATATAATGTACTTGAACTGCTTTTATATTGCTTAAGAAAAGTAAGTATAGAGGAATTGCCAAAGAGAGGAAAATAAAGAAATAGTTGATTCCTGATTAGAGGTCAGACACATGATTCACTACTTGCTATGCTGGAAAAAATTACCCTGGATAATTATTCATGCTTTCTACAGCTTCTACAAGTGGCTGTGTGGGTCAAACCTATTTTTCATCATGGAGTCATGGAACACACTTGCCTGATCAGGCTGCACCTGAAAGGGCAGAAGTTTAGTCACTTTGCAGTGACAATAGATATGTGATCCTTTACCATTTTTTATCCCCAAAACACTGGGTAATGAAAAATTAGGGGAAAATACCAGACTAATGTCAGAATAGTAAAATACCTCCAAAAAAAAGATAAGTCATCAGATGCTGCTTTTACTTAATGCAGCACTTGTATATCAACACTGAGAGAGCAGTTAGCACCTGCAAACACTGGCAAATTGAGAATGTGAATGTGTCTTTGCACAGTTGGAGATGGTGTCAGATGAATGGCAAAGAGAGGGAAAGCAGACTAAAAGAGCTATGAGATTGTGTGTACTGGGAACTGCTGCCACTGCAAGAACATAGAATAAAGGGCTCTGGGGTTTGGCTGCACAGCTGTGCAGCCAAGAAGATGGATTCACAGCTGTGAAAGAGAAGCACATGCTGCCAGTGTTCTGGGTTGCCAGGTGAAATTTTGATCTCAAAGAATCAAATTAATAGATAGTAGCTGAGGATTCTGAAATTGTTTTAAGATCCAGCAGCTTTGTGTGTTGACTGGCATTTAGTGAGTGAAAGTGTCAGAGTGGTGCAAAGAAAACAGGATTTGAAACTAGGACAAGTTTTTTTGTTTAAACATGTACGGGAGGTGCTGTCAAAGGCATTACAGCTACCTTCTGCAAGTGAGTAACTCTGATGGAAGTGAAAACTTGATTGGTAGAGTGTCTGCAGCACATCACAGCAGCTGTAACTAGACAAATGGAAGAACTGACAGATTGTAATGGTGGCTGGCTGAGAAGGAGAGCTGAGAACAGAATTGTTGGCATTAGCACACAGGCTGTCTCCGAAGGGCAAAACACAGGGTCAGAGAGGAAACGTTCATGTTGTCTTCACTGCTTTCTAATATGTAGCCACTTCCTGTTTCTCACTATTCTGAGAATGGTGAACAAGAAATGAACTTGAATTTGGGCAAAGCTTCAAGGTTTTTATTGAATGATACATTACTAATAAACAAGATTATACACTGTCAGTATTTTCATGGAAAATAGACTTTGTTAAACACAGCAACATACTTCTGCCTTTTGGATAGATGCTAATTTAGCATGTGTAAAACACAAGGCCCCAGCAGAGCTGGAGCATTCTTCCAACACAGACTAAGAGGGCTCCTGCTGGTGCCTTTTCACTAACCACTGTCAGCACTGGCTGAGACCATCAGTCAGCTCCATCACTGCACTTCTGGGACACAATGCCACTCAAGAGAGCTAAGATCGGGCTTCAAGAGCATCAGTGTCATCAGTGCCAGCCTGTGGGGAGGCCTCTGTGGAAGTGCAGAGCACTAATGCCAGAAATGGAATTAATAAATATCAATGCAGGGAAAAAAGTCAACATTCCTTTGTACATTAGTGTGCTCTCCTACCTCTCCTCCCAGACTTGTGGATCAGCCTTGCAGTGGCACACAAGTCTCTGTCATAATAGTGTTTGGATTTCAGTTGATCAGTAGGCATGATGAAATTTGACAGTAAGATGCTCAACTGTAACAGCAATAGCTCTTAATGCTACACACTTACATATATTACATATTGGTACAATACATCTCACAAAAGTCAATGGCCTAATGTAGCCATTTTTATGTGATAGGGTTAATCTTCAAATGTGCATACATTTACTATTTATTCTCCTCCAAACCACAGAAGTTACAAGGAATATTCTCTCACCTTCCCGTATGCCTTTTGTAAAAAGACAGTTAATTTATTTCTTTAACTGAAATGAACTAGCAGACACTCCATCCCAGCTAGGAAATGGTTTCTCTCCTTCCTTGTTACAGTTAACAGTGATATGGAATGGAATCACTTTTTTCTCTAGCTTTTCAGAAGGCATTTTCACATAGACTCCAGTAGTGAGACATCGTCTTCTCTTTATCTGTAACATATGGGAAGAAAGTAAAATTAACTAGCAATCACAGCATACTCATTGACCAGCACATTTTAGAGAGACCAAGGATGTTCTTCCTTTACTGAGTAGAATGTATTCTAGACACCTTTCTCTGCCTCTTTATAGAAGATCTGTTAAGAGCATTTGATGGAGGATCAGGATATACAGGGGCTATTTATACAAAGGAAAAAAAAAAAAAAAGAGTCCTGCCATTCATTTAGCTATTTGAAGGTGCTCCTGCTTCAGAGTTCAGTGTTGGTTGAAAGCTAGGAGTGTTCACACCTGACAGCTTCATTTACCTTCTAGGAACAAGGACTGATTGAAAAATCATTGTTTGGTTTCAAGCTCAGGTTAATTTCTAATAGACTATGAGTGCTGCAGACCCCTGTGGAAAAAGGCAACCCAGGCTTACATTTTGCATATTTTTGTGCAGACATTTGTACCTGTGAAATTCAAAATGCTTAAAGTTACCCCTCCCCCATCCAAGGAGAAGGTTGTTTAAATTTTCTTTGCAGAGTTGAATGATGAGAAAAGGAACAAATTAGATTCCGGGATTTTGTGTGAATCATTTGTGAAATGAGAGTACACATGAAGACTGTTTCCTTCAATCCCAGAAGCATCCAAGACTTTGCCTGGTTTTAAGCATCCAGCCCTAAGCCAAGGCTCAGTCCAGCTGATGGAAGCTGACTGCTTTCTAGTATGCTGGCAAAACAAATGAGCCATCAATAAATATAAGTGGCAGGTCCAGCAAGTTATTTTATATTGTTGTAATAATATTGCACTTGCAAAGTGGAGCATCTCACTGGATTTTTCACAGTGTTCTTCCCTGTTCTCATTTATTTCTCCTTGTCCTCATCATACAAAGGGATATTATTAGCAGAAGGGAGCTGAGTTGATGGGACTTACCGCTTTGCCCACAAGAATGGCTGAGATGATGATACTGTAAAGAAAAAATCCAGAGGCAGTAGCTCCTAATACCCAGAGATATATGGCAGTGTCTGGACAAGGTTCTGGATCTAAAACATATGATATCACACATGTCATGTCACACACGAGCCTCATAAGAAAGGCCCTAGAGTCAGTGAGTCAGTCTCTACACTGCTTTCCTCTAGTATGTGCTATCCCAGGATACCACTAGGACTGTGCTCTGAGTTGCTGCCTACTCAACCTCCAATGAAAAGAGTCTTTATCTGTAGAGGAGCTCACACCTTACTCTGTTACTTTTTGCACTTCTGTATCTAACTGACTAGATATATTGTACACTGCATGGTGTTGCTTATGCTGTCATTCCATGGCTATGACTATGCTTGCTTTGGGCATCTGCAGGGAGACCTGAAAGAAATAAGAGCTAGTCAAGATTTTCAGTGCTGAAACCAGTATTCACCCTCGCTTCTTACAAAAAGATCTCTGAAGACCTTTGAGATGTAATAGCAACTCTCTTAACTTGGAAGTATCACAGTACTGTAAACTTGTTTGCCTTACCAATGACATAGAGATGTGTGCCATTTCCCTTGTTCATAAAATATGGTGGGGGGTACATCCGCTCCATCTTGCAAATGTAAAGCCCAGTGTCATTTGCTTGCAGGCCAGCCAGCGTGAGGGTCACATTGTTTTGGCCGGGGGTAACACGGCACTGAATGACCTCTTTCACAAAGAATGTTTTAAACTCCGTGGTGTATGATGAAGCACAGATTTCCATGCTCTGGTCACCAGTCTGTTTAAGCAATGTCACTCGAATTTCCTTTGCATTCCCGATGTTCTTGTATTTACACACCAAGCTGGCAACTCCATGCCTGTTGGCCAGCACAATTGCTGGCTGAGTCACTTCCATTACTGTAAGAAAATAAAGAGAGTGATGGTAAGGGAACAGTCAAGAAAGGATCTGGATCTGGAGTCATTTACTTCAAACCTGTACAGTGGAAAGGGAGTTCTGCCACCTGTTATCCATGGGTGATTCCTAGAAATGCTGTTTTCAAAGAAGGAACTCCAAGACCACAATTCACATTAGCAGTGCATTAATATTCTTTAAAAAGCTCAAGAAATGCTTTGATTACTAAAAATTATATTATTAATCTCAGCAATTACTTGTTGCTTAAATTGTAGGTTATTTGGCCCACTTAGTCAGGCCATGACTGGCCTGCATGCTTCAGTTTTCCTCAACAGAAACTTCTTAGTATACATAAGAAACTAAAAAACAATAGACTATAGATGATAAGGTTGAAATTTTAAATTTAAAATCAGACTTTTAAATCACAATTTCTGCCTAATAGAAATATATTTACATTTAGGAACAAAAAAGTTGGCATCCTGTATGGAATATGGAACAAAATGATTTAGGTAACAGTAAAACTGAATGGAAAATCTGTTTGCATGCATTTGTTTCTGATATTTTTTCTCCTTATTTTTAACTAGCTACTCCCAAACCACAGTATAGCAACAATATATACCCCAAGCTAATATAAGAGCACATAAAAAAACCTGATTAACAGACTCCAAAAAAAAATTGTAAGGGGAAACTTCTGTACCATGTACAACCTCACTGACAGCTTTTTGCAACTTCAATATTCTATCATGACACATGATGGGATGGCACTGTCTTTGCTTTAGTAAGCTGTGAAGACTCATCATTATTTTTAAAATCTCATTTTATATCAGTCCATTTTGGGGCAGGGTTTATCTTGTCTGTTCTGCAATGCAAGTATTCCAGATGAAGAGCAGAATGCCTCCATACATTCAAACCTCTATATCCATGTTATCAGCTGTCACAAGTTCACTTGCAAGGCCTGGTTTTTCAAGATCTTTTCTTCCTTCTTTAGCTACTCTGAATGTTGCCCAGTGTCCCTGCAGATAGTACTGCTATAACGTCTGTGTCTGGTTTTTCTAGATACTTGCAGTGCTCCAAGACATCACTCCCATGAGTCCCATGTCACCTTCCTCTCCCTGTTGTATCAAGTCTGTCTCCTGCAAGGACATGAAACTGAAAACAAGTCAACAGCCCCAGATACCTTGCCTCTTTCATCTACCCACCTTCAGCAATGGCAGTGGCTGTGCAGAGAAAGCCCACGGTGATCAATATTGAGAGCATTCCTGTGCTGGGACAGAGGCTGAAGGTGCTGATGCCTTCAGACTTTAAGACAAACTGGAACTCTCAGTACTGGAAAAGAGGTGACACCTTTCAGGATACTGAATCTTCGAAATGTTTGAACCCACACAGAGCCAGTGTGTATATATAGCTTTGATCCCAGATGCTGTACCTGAAAGTAGTATGAAGCTTTGTTTTGGTTTTACGAGAAAGGAAGCAGTGGGTTTAATTAGTACGTGCACAGTTAACCTCAAACAGCATGAACAAAAACAACTATTCAGCACATGGAAAATTTATATTCAATCTGAAACTGCCATCCATTCTGCTTTAAGAATTGTGGGAGGAAAGGTAATCATCATTAGAGCAGTTCAGGCCCCTTGGGGGTGCCAGCTTGCAGAATCATAGCACTTAATATTTTAGCAATCGTCAGGTATTTCCTACCAGGGCAACATGCAGAGAACTGTACTTATGCCTAATGTGGCATGGTGAATCCCTGCAAGCTAGCTTTTTATGGAGGACTTGCCTCCACCCCAAATTTCTTTGCTTGCTTTAATATTAGTGCTTTTGATGTTTAAAAATTGCTACCCCTTCAAAATACTGATTACACTTGCAGTTACTTCATCTTTTTTATCAGCAATGTGACTTGAATCATAACCCAGCCTCTTTAAGCTTTCCTGTTTTCAAGAAAAAATTATCTAGGTTTATAGCTAATGACTTCCACATCTATACAGAACTTTGTTACCTACGGACTTTACTGCCTAACTTGACATCAACAGATGAAAAACACTGCAGGAGCTTTGATTATTGCTGTCTCTGCTTAGAGCACCTGCGTCATTTCCAGCCTCAGTGAAACAGTTTTTGCTCATGGACCTTTCAAATGTTATGTAAGCTCTGAAAATTGTTTTGCTTTTTTATGTGATAAGCTGTTACATCCATGAATCATTGCCTAAAGAATTCCATAAAAATGAGAGTTCACTTCAGCTATCCTGAAAGTTGGAATTCTTTTTTTTTACCCACACTTTGAGAAGTTCTTTTAGAAGGTGCTTCATCATTTATATATGTAGATCTAGTAGATTGCAAAGACCTGCTTTTGCACTGTGACCTAGAAAAATTAACAGCATTAGTTATTGAACACTAGCCAGCCCAATCCAAAGATCCAGGATAAATACTGAGTCTTGAAATCACATAAATACGTAATGATATAAATAAGCTTACTGCTTCCATACCTAGGTTATGCAATATTTGTTTGTAATGACAGATTCACAGTCGTTTTAATCTTAACCAGCATTCAAAACAGAACTGATGATAAATAAAAATAGTGCTATGGTAAAATGAAACACTGCACCCTAATAATGAGACAGGCACATATTGTATTACTGGTTAGACAAGCTTAAATAAATTTTAATATTAAATGTAAAATAAATGCAATTGCAACATCGTGTACCAGAATCAGTGAGATTTATGGCATGAAATTACCAGGTTATGCCTGACATTTTCATATCCAGCATAGTAACTAAATTATCTGCCCATTGTATCTTTTGGGTTTGGGTTATACATGCAGTTAAACAAATTATGCATTTGAGCTTCATCAACTATGGTGTCATCTCCTGGTAATTGATTAAGACTGCAAACTGATGGTGCAATTAGCCATTAAACACTGGCAAAGCATTGCCATGTAAAACTCAGTGCTCATGCCATGCATACCCATGGGATCTTGCCCTGCTAGAGTGACAGGCAGCACTCTGGCACTCCTTTCTCTCCTGTATGAGACTGCTCTAGCAAGCTGTATTTCCAGTGGTACTCATCTTGTTTCCTGGCTGTTTTGTTCTCAGGGTGCATTTTCAGAATCACAACTTTTTCCTTTTTACTCTTGTTCTTCCTTAAAAGTCTTGTGTTATGATAATTACTCTTCTAAGTAGAGCACAATATGTCTCCCTGTGGAGTCTCTTGGAGTCTTCTCTGTCTTCACTGCCCAAGTGAGCCCAGGCTGCCTTCAGTTATCCCTTCCAATGGATGATTACCTTGCCATGGTGCCTTCTACCCTTCCTAATCAGACGTTGGCTCTTGAACTGATGTATGCAGAGAGCAGGTAGATCATGCAGTAGAAGAGATCTTGTTCCAAATAAGATCTCACTTTCACTGCTCCCATCCTTTCCAGCTCAATTACAGCATGGAACGAGGTATTGATAACAGAATGAGTTCCCCACTAAAATAAAATCCACAAGAATCACTGGGGACACCTTTTCTCTCTTCTGTGTCCCTTATCTAGCTACTCTTCAGCTGCTCAAGAGTCTCTGGACTTCTGCTTGCCCCACCTTCCCTGAATATATTATATGAAAAATACAGGCCATGCTTTGTGGGCTACAGCCACTGGGTCTGTCTTACCTAGTTACTGCACCTTCTTGTCTGTGTAGTCTGGAATCCCCCTGCCCTGACTTCTATCTTGGGAACTCTTCATCTGTCACCTTTTCCCATGAATGGAACCTTACACATAGTCTAGTGGCCAGACAAGGGAATGGCTGAAAGAAGAGCCCTAATTTTGACTTTGAGATTCAGGTCTTTAGAGTGAGGTTATTCCTCAGGCTGTTTCTAAAAGCTTGCACTTTGTGCTCCAAAAGATCAATATGATATTCTTCTTTCCTTTAATGCACATACTTATACTGTAGTTCTCTTTGTTCTTAGGGGGGTTATTAATTCCCATGTCACAGAAAACCTTTATACTTTACATATGCTACCACAGCAAAGTGTCAGAGCAGGGGAGAAGACTGAAGGCCGTGCAGTGCAAAGCTGCAGAGCCTTAAGCAAAGGGTTCATCTAAGGAGCAGCTTGAGCTTCATGACCTCTTTGAAACTAGCTGAGGGAGGGACATGCAGTTCTACGCTGGACTACACTACTGTGATTACTCAGATTGCTAGGAAGTTAAATAACTAGGTTTCTCACATAAGTTTCTTTCTCATTTTGGGTTAGTGAGTTGCATTCTAGTGATTTGCTTTTCTTCACTGAGCACTTGTTAGGGCAAACCCTCCTGCTGATACCCTGTCAGAATTGCCATTGCAAAATGTTTTTATTCAAAAAATTATTTTCGCACTTGTAAGCCTGTCTCATGCTGCCCATGGTTTTTGGTTTTTTTTTTTTTTTTCTGTGACAGGAACTTGCTTGGTAAATTGTTTGAGGTGTAATGGGGAGAAGAAATTATTATAATTTGCATAAGTATCTGGTTGGTTTCAGGATATTTTGCTACACTCAAAATGTGAGATCATGTCTTACTATGTTAAACAGTTCACGTTTTTACCACGTTCATTTGGCACAAACCTATTGGGGTTTTGAAGTGCTCTGTCATTTGAAAAAAATCCAGACCTCTAAGTGGTATGGCTGAAGAAAAAAATTTTTGCACAAAACAAGAGGTAAAGAGAAAAGGAAATAACAAAGTGACTGGAAAAAATACTGTTTCATTGCCATTAAAGGATTAAAACCTGGTTAGCTTAAGTAAAGACCTGGATATAACCAAGTTTGGTGGATCAGACTTAGTTCCCGAAGGAATCACAATTCATATCACAAAATTACTTATTTTTAAGTCTCTCATAATTGTTGCCTTTTTCTCAGCTTTTAACCTGGTTTTGTAAATGCTGCTCTCCAGTCCTAAGCCTGTGTCCTCAATCCAGCCTCAGAAAAGGGGAGGACAACATTAGCTGAGAGCAGTGGAATTCTCTTTCCACTGCTTCCTAGGGCACACGGGTTGGTGTTCTTGTGAGCTTCTGCTGATGAGAAGATTGTCCAAAAAGATTTGAGATGGGGGTGAATATTTGAGTGTCCTTTTTCTTTGTGATACAATCATTGGTATTTCTTTTCTGGAAGATAGGCTTTGTTTCCCCTACAATAAATTCAATTATATCCAAGCTTTCCTGATATGCATAGCATCTATAATTATCTAACACGGAGGTCAAATTTCTTCCCAGCTTTTTAATGCTGCCAGTTCTCAGTTAGCCTTGAGTAAGGCTGCATTCTAGCCCTTACCTGGCCGGGTTGCTACATGTTATTTGTCTTAAGCCGTCTATGTCCCAGTAGCAACTAGGCCTGTGTGAATGTATTGCCTCCACCCCATCCCTATGCAGCTTATGGTCAAAATGTTAAGAGCTGGGATGTATGGACTGAGAAACAACGCAGGCAAAAGATCTTCACACACTGACTTCCTTATTTTTCTCCAGTTTCCTGCAGGGGGCTGTGGCAAGGGAAAGATTTTAGGACAAATTTTAACAGAGACCATAAGTATCTTGGCAGATGTTTAACAACTTTCCTTTACTGCAATAAGTTTTCCAAAGAAGAGCTTCACATATTTGTTGTTTCTAGACCAATCACTTGGGATTGAGCACAGAATAAAGCAGCTATCTTCACCCCAGAGCAAAGACTGAAAGCTAGTCTGTTTCCATGAATAAGCAGAGAAGAACCAAAGGAACCCCCCCCCAAGTCTAAAATTAAGCTTTATGTGTACCCTATGACTGGAGAAATACTGGAGAAATGTTTTACTTCCACTTTCCTTTATTTCTTAAAGCATTGCAAAAAGGAAAAACAGCAAGAGGTAGACATATTTCTGAGTCTCTGGCTCTGACATTGCAGGAGTTTGAATTTAATGAGGGACACAAGAATATATCATAAAGTTTTGCTGAAAACATGTGAGAAATGACGTTCTAATCCAAAATGAGATGGGTAAGAAATATTTTTAAAGGGTACAGATGAGGAGCATAATTCCAGGGCCTACTTCCAGTTTACACAGGGCTAATTAAGTCCCTAATGTGTAAAAATAAAAAAAATATGGTATTTCAATCTAATAAGATCAAAGCAGGACTCCTGAAAAACATAGAATTAAACCTTTATAAAGCAAAGAACTCAATGAAGTTTACATAAAGGAGATAGTGTTCCAGCTCAGTAGACTTATGGAGAATCCAAATGTTTGAAAGACAGGAGACCTGGCAAAGAAAGGCTTTTTCATAATCTCACAGAGTGAAGTTCATCCAAGGAAGGGCATGGAGCAGATTCTAAAGTACTACTTTGAATTAATGACAAGTGAATAATGAAGGTCAACTTCGTTTGCCAAAGTCTGGAGGTCATTTTGGGAGAGTGGATGTGACCTGATAGTTAGAATGGGATGGGCTAGAAAATGAAAGTAAATTGAATTAAATTAAATTAAATTAAGGGAGAAGTCGGTAATGTAGCAGAAGGTAGAAGTCACTGGATAGGCACAACGAGAAGGATAAGGTGTTTAAACTGACAGATTCTCACTAACATTTGGAATACACAGCAGTGAGCCAACATTTGTCAAGGCCAGCAGATATTGTTTCAGCAGTTTAAGTGAACAAGAATCACGAGCTAAGGCTTCTAAAGGTATTTGGTCACATTTAGCCTTGTCCGCCTTTTGTCTGATTTGCCTTTGCAGGCACTAGATCTCAGAAGTACAGCACAGTATGCATCTCTTCCCAGGGGCACACTGAGTTTGGGAAGACAAGCCACAAGTCTTGGACATTTTAGGGGAACAGCTTCTATGTGGAAGGCTCAGAGGGCTTGTAATGAGATGGAGGCAGGGAAATGACCAAGGGTGGAAAGGATGTTCTGGCAAAAATATGAGTGGCTGGATCAGTGAGGGGTACATGTAGCTTTTTTTTGTTTTCAGATGTCACTGTTGGGGTGAGTGAAGTATACTCCAAGATAAAACCTGCCCAGAAGTCCCTTATGAGTGAAAAAAACATTTTAGTGAAGACCAGATAATGCACCACCTGCATCTCTGTCAATAATGCTCTTTAAATTTTGCACGACAGAGCTAGGCAATACAGAAACTCAGCACTGAGGGATGGGGACCATTTCAGAATCCCTCCTTGCTATAAACCTTGCCTTGCTTTCCTGTTTCTACCACCTTCTCCTTGCCTCTTTCCTTGCAGTTTTATTTACAAGAATCATAGAATGAATAGTGGCTTTATCACAGAGTGTTTATTCAAGGCTTGTATGAGAATGTAATCCTGGGAATTATGTCTAAGATTTGTAGGGTTGATGCCCTGATTTAAGGAACTTTAGTGTTCAATTTGTTTGCCTCTGGTCCATGCCACCACATGTTACTGAAAGTTATCAGTGATGTATGCAGGGATTATGTGTTGCCATTAGAATGGTTATTAAATCATAGGCTGGGGGCTCTGGAAAACAAAGATACAGATTTTCTAGCAGAGGATTGTAGAATAAATTCCAGACTTTGCACGATCCTTTCTGATTTTGAAGTGCAGCAGTTGCAAAAAAA